AGGTGGAAGTACACGCGGCAACGCGTTATAGGCTTCTGCCAAAAAAAGTTGAAATAGTGTATTTTCATTTAACAAGTTACACATAGTAGTTTGTAACGCGTCTGCCGCGAAAAGTTCACCTACTTTCAACTTTTGACGCGTCGGCAGCTGATCAGGATTGTATTTTATTTTGTGTAGAATAAGAATAAACTAAAATGAAATAAATTTCTTCAACAATGTAGGAAAAATATTAAAAATATACAAAAACTTAAAATTTTTATTATTAAAACATTAATAGTCTTAAAAATCATTAAAAGAGAGATCAAAATAACGCGTGGTCTGTAACTTGCCGCTTATAAAGCGCGAGAAGTTTGAAAAGCGTGAAACCTTTTCCTTTACAAACTTTTTGTAAGTGCCACCGTATTACAACAACAACAAAACTCTACAGTGGATTTTGTTCTTTCATTTGTTGTACGATTATTTAATTTCTTTTGTCAACTACGTGCATTATCAACATTATCATACTTAGACAAAGTCCGTATGTCTTTCCCTCCGTCCCTCCTCTGTCTGTCAGTCGGTCTCTCATGTCTGTGTATGGTGTTATATCCGTATTTTTATTACTGTAATGTTTGTATGTTGTTGTTATTTTATTATTATGATTATTTAGATTTGTATACCTATTATGCAAATGTTGTAAAAACACAACAGCAACAACAAAAGCAATAAAAAACACACCATGGTCTTCTTCTAAACACTTTAAAAGTACAACCATTCCATTCATTTATGTATATTCTTTTGCTTCTTGTTGTCGTTGTTGTCTCTTCGTTGTGTCTTAAAAAGCCAATGACTTTTTAGGTAAATTCCCTTTTAAAGTTCTGAGCTTTTTTTTGAAATGTTTACTGGCAACAAATGGTCGTTATAGTAACAAAAACAACACTAGAAAAGGGTTTATCTGGAAGAGGAATATGCTAATTTTTTTGAACAATAACAACAACAACGAATTTTTAATATGAAGAAATTGAAAAACAGTTTATAAAATATTTTAATTTAAATTGCTTATGCAGCAAAATGAAATCTTGAAGCTGAAACAATTAGTTTTTGGAAAACTAAATTTTGAATTCAAAATGTTTTATATTGAATTGATTTTGGTTGCGATTAAAGTTTTATAATATATAACCACAATTATCAATAGTATAAAAAGAGTTCTGTTTGTTAATAGGTCCAATATTCTAGATTTTAATTCTCCACATTAAGCATATTCTAATCTTAGTGTTTTCGTCAAATGTTAAGCTTTTGTTTGATAATAAAAATGCTCTTTTTTAATTTACCTAACTTTGACCCATAACAATGTGACATTTATAAGTAGTGGGTCACGGTTGCCTTTACACAAAGAAACTGACCTGGTATATTTACATACATGTGACAATAATTATTAAGAACACTGCATTGTTAATAACTATTGGTGTCAATTGAAAATCAATATTCTTTAATACTTAATAAAAAAATATTTCTAATAATAACATTTACCACATGTACAAGATATTATAATTACAATACCCTAGGTCTAACACAAAGTTCAAAAGACTTCTCTAGTCTAGTCTATAGTCTAGTCTATAGTCTAGTCTATAGTCTAGTCTATAGTCTAGTCTATAGTCTAGTCTATAGTCTAGTCTATAGTCTAGTCTATAGTCTAGTCTATAGTCTAGTCTATAGTCTAGTCTATAGTCTAGTCTATAGTCTAGTCTATAGTCTAGTCTATAGTCTAGTCTATAGTCTAGTCTATAGTCTAGTCTATAGTCTAGTCTATAGTCTAGTCTATAGTCTAGTCTATAGTCTAGTCTATAGTCTAGTCTATAGTCTAGTCTATAGTCTAGTCTATAGTCTAGTCTATAGTCTAGTCTATAGTCTAGTCTATAGTCTAGTCTATATCTAGTCTATAGTCTAGTCTAGTCTAGTCTATAGTATATAGTCTAGTCTCTATAGTCTAGTCTATAGTCTAGTCTATAGTCTAGTCATAGTCTAGTCTATAGTCTAGTTTAGTCTATGTCTATGTTAGTCTATAGTCGTCTATAGTATAGTCTAGCTGAGTCTAGTATATAGTCTATAGTCTAGTCATAGTCTAGTCTATAGTCTAGTCTATAGTCTACATATCTAGTCTTATAGTCTAGTCTTCTAGTTAGTTATACTAGTCTATAGTCTAGTCTATAGTCTAGTCTATAGTCTAGTCATATCTAGTCATATCTAGTCTATAGTCTAGTCTATATAGTCTTATCTATAGTCATAGTCTCCTATAGTCTATAGTTGATCTAGCTAGTCTATAGTCTAGTCTAGTTATAGTCTAGTCTATAGTCTAGTCTAGTCTAGAGTCTAGTCTATAGTCAGTCTATAGTCTAGTCTATAGTCTAGTCTATAGTCTAGTCTATAGTCTAGTCTATAGTCTAGTCTATAGTCTAGTCTATAGTCTAGTCTATAGTCTAGTCGATAGTCTAGTCTATAGTCTAGTCTATAGTCTAGTCTATAGTCTAGTCGATAGTCTAGTCTATAGTCTAGTCTATAGTCTAGTCTATAGTCTAGTCTATAGTCTAGTCTATAGTCTAGTCTATAGTCTAGTCTATAGTCTAGTCTATAGTCTAGTCTATAGTCTAGTCTATAGTCTAGTCTATAGTCTAGTCTATAGTCTAGTCTATAGTCTAGTCTATAGTCTAGTCTATAGTCTAGTCTATAGTCTAGTCTATGGTCTAGTCTATAGTCTAGTCTGTAGTCTAGTCTATAGTCTAGTCTATAGTCTAGTCTATAGTCTAGTCTATAGTCTAGTCTATGGTCTAGTCTATAGTCTAGTCTGTAGTCTAGTCTATAGTCTATTCTATAGTCTAGTCTATAGTCTAGTCTATGGTCTAGTCTATAGTCTAGTCTATAGTCTAGTCTATAGTCTAGTCTATAGTCTAGTCTATAGTCTAGTCTATAGCCTAGTCTATAGTCTGGTCTATAGTCTAGTCTATAGTCTAGTCTATAGCCTAGTCTATAGTCTGGTCTATAGTCTAGTCTATAGTCTAGTCTATAGTCTAGTCTATAGTCTAGTCTATAGTCTAGTCTATAGTCTAGTCTATAGTCTAGTCTATAGTCTAGTCTATAGTCTAGTCTATAGTCTAGTCTATAGTCTAGTCTATAGTCTAGTCTATAGTCTAGTCTATAGTCTAGTCTATAGTCTAGTCTATAGTCTGGTCTATAGTCTAGTCTATAGTCTAGTCTAGTCTAGTCTATAGTCTAGTCTATAGTCTAGTCTATAGTCTAGTCTATAGTCTAGTCTATAGTCTAGTCTATAGTCTAGTCTATAGTCTAGTCTATAGTCTAGTCTATAGTCTAGTCTATAGTCTAGTCTATAGTCTAGTCTATAGTCTAGTCTATAGTCTAGTCTATAGTCTAGTCTATGGTCTAGTCTATAGTCTAGTCTGTAGTCTACTCTATAGTCTAGTCTATAGTCTAGTCTATAGTCTAGTCTATGGTCTAGTCTATAGTCTAGTCTGTAGTCTAGTCTATAGTCTATTCTATAGTCTAGTCTATAGTCTAGTCTATGGTCTAGTCTATAGTCTAGTCTATAGTCTCCAATCTAGTCTACAGTCTAGTCTATAGTTTAGTATTTAGTCTAGTCTATAGTCCAGTCTTGGTATTTGGTAAATTACATAATTTCTGATAGAAATCTGTTTTGTAACATGATTTGACGGGAAATAGAGGACAAAATTTTATTTCTAAATGCCTGATTCCTTCGGTCCTCAAATCCGTGTTAAGTAATAAAATTACTCTCTGTAGGGTATTTTTAAGAGTTTCATGACAATTATTACTTCTAACCAATTCCCATCTAATAATTGCAATGTCCAGTACATAACTAAACGAAAATGTGTGCGTGTTAGATTAGAATGTTTTTCTTGAGAACACTTTTATTAACAAACAACTGTTTATTATTTAAATATTTACTTGTACATATGTATGTATGTACTAGTAACAACCCAACAAACCAAGCCATAATCAAAATATAACTACATTTTAAAATAAACTTATAATAAAGAATTTTCTACAACATTTCATAAGGATACTTATGATAGGTTTATTTTAATGGAAATTATAAATACTTTTAAAATAATGCTTAAAAAACGCTTCGTATAGCAACAATATTTGCAATAATACTTGCTGTACACTTAGTTAGGATAACAAGTTTTACAAATGTGATTGTAAAAGACTAATGATCGCAATAGTTTTGTAATTGTTTTCCTATAAGATATCCCGTTATTTTATTGCGTGTTTTTCTTATTATTATTCTTCTTCATTTCAGTCTTCTTGTTTAGTTTGGCAAAGGCAGTGTTTTTAAGTGTTTAAGAGTGTAATTTTATAAAATAAAGTAATATAAAATTTGTGTTTAAAAATGGTAATTTAATTAATATATAAAAAATGCCACATAATAAAACAATGTGCTTTTTTATTTTATAGATGCCGCTTTTTCTATAGGATTGAGGGAGGACGAGTTCATAAAAAGTATAAACAAGTCTTTTCCATTTACCAATAATAGACTAATACGTAAAATATATATAGAAAAGTGCAAAATTGTAGAAAGTATAATTGAAAAATATCAGTAAAGTAATGAAAAATAAAAAATATGTATGAAACAAAAAAAAAATATTGTTTTAATTGAATTAACAAGCTTATAAAAATGTTACGAAAATAAGCTTACTTCAATCATGTTTCAAAAACTATTTTTCAGTAAGCTTATTTCATAATTGCGATTCTAAGCTTGTTGTAAACTGCAACTAGGAATATTATCACAAGGGTTCAATTTTCTTGATAAAATAATTGTTAACAAGCATTTTACAATAATTATCATAATAGTTTTGCAAACCTAACGCTTATGGTAGTAAGTTTGTTATAAACGAATTTTAAAGCTTTTTGGTTTGTTGGGAACTTTTTCTGTTGGTCTTGACCTTTAAATATTTAACTAATTATTGATTTATTTTATTTCACTCTAATTGCAGAACTGTCAGAAAATAATACGTTTACGTTCTTTAAACGCAAAAACAGATCCCGCAGCACTTGCACGTGAAGTCGTGGACAAATGTGATTTAATACACAAATCCCAGTTGGCCGATGTAGAGCAAATAATATTTTATTTGAAAAATCGTAAAGATAATGCTGGTATAGGTAAGTGTGTTTAACAAAATGGAACCAACAGATGTATAGTATTTCCGTTAATTTTTGTAATTTACAGATACACACGACAACAATATGGGTCATCATCGTTCGGCTATTGCCACACACCGAACCTCGGCAAGACCTCATACCACCATGAGTTCTAGCATGTCATCTTCAACACATTCAAAATCATCAGATTCCTCGGATGTTTCCATTAATCATATAGACGAATATGTTGAGTTGTTGTATGAAGATCTAAGCGAACGCATACGAGGTTCGGCTATGATCCTACAAGTAGCACGTAATCCTGATAATTTAGAAGAATTAGAAAAAAATGGTGCGTTGTTTTTTTATTATTAAAAATAAATTTATTTAAATATTTTCATTTTTTTCCAGAATCTTGTTTAAGTGCTTTGTCGCGTGTATTGCGTGAAGATTGGCGCAAAAGTTTAGATTTATCTACAAATATTATTTATATATTCTTTTGTTTCTCCACCTATACGAAATTTCATTCAGTTATAGTTCAATATAAGGTAAGTTGGAATTAAAAGGGGGTTTTCAACTTTCATAGTACATTTTGGAATGGTTCCGGCATTAAAAAGATTCGACTACTGTTCTGTCTTTATTCGAGATGTGTTGTTAAGGAATGATAACTTTATATAATTAATTCCATTACAGATTGGTTCTTTATGTATGGATGTTATCGATTACGAATTACGTCGTTACGAGAGTATGCGTAATGAATTGGATATTCGTAAAAATCCTGGTGGTTCGGCTCCTCTATCGGCTAAGGCAAGCAAGGAGAAATTAAACAACAGCACTGATGATTTTCTAGATCTCATGAATGAAGAAAAACCCAAAGAGGTAAAACAACAACAAAGAATTTTTCACACATAACAAATAATTAAAACAATTTTCTATATTACTCTCAGATGGAGCCACCTCGACGTCGTATACCCGAATTGAAACAACGCCCCAAATCGGGTAATTGGTCTAGTTTTCACAGTTCCATGTCTTCATCGCTTATAAAAAGTCAAATACTAAACAGCAGCTATCATGAAGCTCTCTCGGCGGGAGCTCAAACACCCGACTCAGGTATCTCGACCAATGGTGACATGAAAGCCACCAGCAATGAGGCTCTCGATCGTAATGATCCGAAAACTAAAAAGGAAGAAATCGATCGTCTGAATAAGCAGCTAAAACTTTTTGCTAAAAAACAAGAACAACTTTTAAGGGTTGCCTTCTATTTGCTACTGAATATGGCTGAAAATGTCAAACTAGAAGAGAAAATGCGTCGCAAAAATATTGTCAAAATGTTGGTTAAAGCTTTAGATCGTCAAAATATTGATCTCCTAATGCTGGTTACCACATTTTTGAAAAAGTTGTCCATAGTGGGTGACAACAAGGACGATATGAGCGAACTGAATATAGTGTCAAAATTACCCCGACTCTTCCAAAGTGGTCATACCGATCTGGTGCAAGTTACCCTAAAATTGGTGTTCAATTTGTCATTTGATGGTCAGTTAAGAAGGAAAATGATAGTGGCTGGTTACTTGCCCATGTTGGTTATGTTTATCAATGATGAAAAACATCATGGCATAGTGGTAAAGATATTATATCACATGAGTTTGGATGATAAGGTGAGACAAATTTAATATTAAAATTGTTATAAGAGATAGCTAAATAAATGTTTGTTTTTTTATTGTAGGTTAAAGCCATGTTTACCCATACCGAATGCGTACAAATGGCCACGGATGCTATTATTTTAAATCTCAATTCTAAAGTTGATTTGGATCTAATCGCTCTCTGCATTAATCTTTCGCTTAATCGTCGTAATGCTCAAATTATGGTCGAAGGCAATCGTTTGCACAGTCTCATGGATCGTGCTTTCAAATATCAAGATTCCCTACTTATGAAACTATTGCGCAATCTCTCGCAGCATGAATCCCTTCAGCCCCTATTTATCGATTATGTAGGGGATTTGGCACGCATTCTTACCATTTGCGACGATGAGTCTTTCATGGTGGAATGCTTGGGCATATTGGGCAATTTGTCGCTGGCCGATTTAGACTATTCACAGATTTTACAAAATTTCCAATTGATACCCTGGATAAGAAATATCTTAATACCCAGTGCAAAGTTAGATGATCTCGTTTTGGATACTATTGTATATTTGGGCACTTGTGCCCATGATGAATTATGCGCCTTACTGTTTTGTCGCGCCAATGTAGTGCTTTCTTTAATCGAACTGCTGAAGGCCAAACAGGAGGATGATGAGATTGTTTTACAAATTATTTTCGTATTCCAACAGATTTTGAGACATGAAAGTACACGCGAGTATATGATTAAGGAGACAGAATCACCGGCGTATCTTATAGATTTGATGCATGATAAAAATGCCGAGATACGTAAAGTTTGTGATTATTGTTTGGACATTATAGCTATTAGCGATACCGAATGGGCGAAACGTATTAAGGTAAGATGGTTTTAAAGATAAAATTAACATTGTATCTAATCAAACATTATATGTTACTTGCAGTTGGAAAAATTCCGTAATCACAACTCGCAATGGTTGTGTATGGTGGAGTCACAACAGCACGAAGACAATAACGAAAGCTATAATGATGAAGAAGACGAAGAACACGATTTGGACAACTATTTACGTGGTGAATATCTGGACAATTGTGATCTATATAATACAAATCAACAAAATAAAGAAAGCGAAGATAATGACAGTAACAATAGTAATAATCCAGCTAGTCCCGCCAATTCAACCTACAGTCGTCCAGTGAGCAGGTAAGTTTTTTCTACAAAATACCCCAAAAAGAAAATTTACAAAAAAAAATCTAATATTATTTTTTAAAAATTTTTAGTTTTAGACGCAGTCAAGATCTTGATGATATTTACAACATGACATTTAGTAGCAAATCTCAAAACTCCAGCCAGGGAGACTCTAATTATATGTTTAAATCGAATAAGTCTTTGGATTCCGAAGGCTTGCATGAAGAGCTTTTATTGGCTTAAGAAGAAATTAAAAAAAAAAAAAGAAAAAAGAATTCATAAGAAAATTGTGCTTAAATTACAGTTGAAAGCAAATAGCGGAAGGCATTTAATTAAATATGTAGTTGTTCTTTTTTTGATTTATTTTAATTTGGGAAAAACCAACCATGTTTTGCATTTTTTTAAAGAAATTATAAACAAAATATTAATTAAGTTATTGTGCTGATGATGTTCTTTTAATTAGCTTTCAGTAAACTCTATGGCGAATTAATAATAAATAAAAAGGCCAAATATTTGTAGAAATTTCTTTGCTTAGCGCACATAAATTACATAGTAGTATATAAACGATTGTTTTTTATTTTATTTTTATAGTTTTAATTTAAAAAAAACGACATTTTTTATAATTATTTTTAAGTTAGCGAAAAAAAAAAACCAAAACGAAGCTAGTCCTTGTTTTTAACACAAAAAAAGTTAAGAAAACGAAACAAAACAACATTAATTTTATGTTAAATGTTTAATATATTTTGTTTGTTTAATTAAGTTTATTTTATTTTAATATATTTTTTTTTATTTACGAAATATATGTGATATTTAACTTTCCTTTTAAAACAATAATACTACAATATTAAAGAACAACAAAACGAACGAACAAATCCTTAGAAAATGAAATTAATAAATTGTCCAGTTATTTATTTTTAGTCAATTATGTTTTTCCTCCTTTTTTTTCTATTATGTATTCTTATTACCTACAATTTAAAATTTTGTTAAAATTTTTTTAGAAACAAGTTAAAATTTAATTTTAAGTTTTTTTAATTAAGTTAAACTAATACCAAAATGTGTTTCGTTTTTTTCTTCTTTTTTTCAAAAAAAGCTTTTTATTAAACAATTAAAATTGCGAAACGTACAAAAAAAATCAGAAAAACTGACAAGATTTTTTATTTTAATACTCAAAATTGGCTTAAAGTAGTTGTTTTAAATATTATATTAAAACAAAAGGCAAACGATCCTTGTAGAAGACTCCTCTTTTACTTTATAATTGTAATAATTGTACTACAAAATATTCTTTAGCATAAAAAAATAAATAAACAATTGATTTTTAAATAAAGACATTTAATAAAAACTATATATTAATAAATACAAAAACAACTATAAATAAATGTTTATGTAAAAGAAAAAAAGTGTTAAAATTGTAACAAAATTTTAGGGGTTTATTTTATAAAATGTTACTAATAACCTGAAAATGTTTAGAATTTGTAAGAAAAATTTTAAATATTTTTGTTTTTCTTACCCCTTTTAAGCATTTTTGTGTGAAGTTTTATTTTATAAATTTGTTTCTCCTAAATTATGCCATAATAACAACAAAAAGTTATAATAAATATAAAGAAAAATAAATAAAAGAAAATCTATATATTTCAAACAATTTAGCACATGTTTTATTTATTTGAAAATAAACCAGTAAGAAAGTATAGTCGGCCATGGCCTACACCATGGGTATATTTTAAAAATAATTTATTTTTCATAAAGAAACTTTTATGTTGAATTTTACCTTAATTCCAAAGTATTTAAGTAATTTATTGATGAAAAACAAATTTTCTAAATAGGGCTTTATATAGGAGTATAGGGCAAATATGGGCGGATCCTCATTAAATTTGGGAAGTTTCATTGCGATACAAATTGTTATAAGTCAATTTTAGACGTTTAAGACATTTTTGAAGGGGGGTTTGTATGGGGGCTAGGGTCAAATAAGGGCGATCATTACGAAAATCTGCAGTGTCATTTATACTTATATAAAACTTATTGTTCTAAATTTTAGAGAGATAATAATATATTTGACATAATTATGACATAAAAAGCCCAAATCGGGAGGTTCGGTTGTATGGGGCTAGGTGAAATAATGGACCGATTTCAACCATTTTCAATAGGCTTCGTCCCTGTGCCAAAAAACAAACTACCTTGAAAATTGTGACCTGTATCTTGCACACAAGGTTTACATTGACAGCCAGCCAGACAGACGAACAGACGGACATGTCTTAATCGAAAAGTTATTAAGACATGTCCGATCGGTATACTTTAAGGTGTGTGCAGGCCCAATATTTTTGTGTGTTACAAACATCAGCACAAACGTATAATACCCTCCCCACTATAGTGGTGTAGGGTCGTTACATATGACCTCCTCCTAACAAAACTAGCCCATGTTTATAGGTATAGACAGATAGATAGATAGATAGATAGATAGATAAGTAGATATATAGATAGATTAGATAGATAGATCGATAGATATAGATCGATAGATAGATAGATATAGATCGATCGCTAGCTCGCTCGCTCTCGATAGCTAGCTAGCTCGCTCGCTAGATCGCTAGATCGCTAGCTCGCTCGCTCGATCGCTCGCTTCGCTCTCGCTCGCTCTCGCTCGCGCTCGCTCGCTCGCTCGCTCGCTCGCTCGCTGCTCTCGCTCGCTCGCTCGCTCGCTCGCTCGCTCGCTCGCTCGCTTCGCTCGCTCGCTCGCTCGCTCGCTGCTCGCTCGCTCGCTCGCTCGCTCGCTCGCTCGCTCGCTCGCTCGCTCTCGCTCGCTCGCTCGCTCGCTCGCTCGCTCGCTCGCTCTCGCTCGCTCGCTCGCTCGCTCGCTCGCTCGCTCGCTCGCTCGTCGCTCGCTCGCTCGCTCGCTCGCTCGCTCGCTCGCTCGCTCGCTCGCTCGCTCGCTCGCTAGATAGATAGATAGATAGATAGATAGATAGATAGATAGATAGATAGATAGATAGATAGATAGATAGATAGATAAATAGATAGATAGATAGATAGATAGATAGATAGATAGATAGATAGATAGATAGATAGATAGATAGATAGATAGATAGATAGATAGATAGATAGATAGATAGATAGATAGATAGATAGATAGATAGCAGTGTCGCCAGATGTGGGGATTTGTCCCCAAATTGGGGATTTCAACTTTTATTTGGGGACCGATTTTCGTGGGGAAGGATTTGGGGATTTTCGTAAAATTTGGGGATTTTTTATAATTTTTGCCTTATTTTTGGGGATTTTTATATTTTTTTTTATAAATATTAACAATTATTTTTTTAGTTTTTAGTTTAGTTTTTTTATATAAGGGTATTTAAAACTGGGTTCGCACCTTACCCTCTCCGATTTGGAGAGATTTGGTTATCATACTCTTTGAATAAATACAAAATTCAAAGTTTTAAAAAATTTTCAAAATCGTTAATTTTTAGATTATTACGAAATTTTTGCTCAAAGGCAGAAAAATTTTTTCTCAAAGGCATGAAGTTTAGTATCGTATAATTTCTGAACAAATTGTTCGATTTTATAAATCTCGGTCTCAAATTTATGGTTATGTGTCCTAGCTTGAAAATTTTTGTTTTTAAATAAGGACAATAAATTCAAAAACATATTTGAGTTAAGTATATCTCAAAAAAGGTATCTTCGATTTTACTTTTTTTGTTCGAAATTTTTAATTCCTTTTGTTCATCAAAGATAAAAGTTTTAAATTGGCGATCCCCATGGTCCTATTCAGATTTTTGTATATGTTGTCGCTGACATTATTACCTAATATTAGTATAGAATTATAAAAACTAAAAAATTAATTTTTAAGATATCTATGGTCAATAATTGTTTTTGAATTTGTTATCCTATAACACCGTTCAACAGCATTTATTGGACATAAACGAGACCATATATACATGATACTAGTGGTCTTACAAAGTAAAACTGTGTTTTCAGTTTTTCATTTTCTGATCTTTTCTCTTTTTTAAAGTACTTGAAATTTTAAGGATATAAAAATGTATTAAAAAAATGTTTCTATCAAATAGTTTTCATCAATATGGGTATCAAATAGGGTGATCAATTATACTTTTGCTGCTTAAAATACAAATAAAATATGTGAAATAATTAGGAAAATAAAAAAAAAAAATAACAAAAGCTCCTTTTTTAAAATATACTCTAGTCCCTAAACTCCAACATTCTTCAAATTTTGTCGGACAGTATTATTATTTACTTCAAAATTTGATGTAAGTGTCCCCTATGTATTCAAATAGCAAATAAAAGTATTCGAAACCATTTTTTTAAGTAAAAAAACGGGTTATTCGATATTCGAAATCAACATTTAGAAAAAAAACCGACAGTAGTAAAACAGAAAAAATCCGAGTCGATCACCCTAGTATCAAATGAAAGAGGATAACCTATGGAAAACAAAACTATATTTTGTTTTTACTTTTCAGGACAAAAAAGTGTAAATAATGTCTTTTAAAAATTCATCCTTTATATCCTTGAGAATATGGGCATCAAATTAAAGAGGAGGATCTCTGGAAATTAAAAATATATTGTTTTTATTTTGAAAGTTGAAAGAGGGGCAAATATGGACCAAACCCGATAAAGTTTTGTGAATGTATTTATATTTATATAATATTTATTGAAGTAATTTTCTGAAGGGGCTAGGGTCAAATGGGGTCCGATATCTATGAAATTTGGCAAGGTCATCAAGACTTGTATAAAACTTAGTTGTGCCGCTTTTGATCAATATACAGGAATATTTAACATAATTATGAGCTCAGAAGCCCTTTTCGGGGGGTTCTGTTGTATGGGGGCTAGGTGAAATAATGGACCGATTTTAACCATTTTCAATAGGCTTCGTCCTTGGGTGTGTCAAAATTCATCCATTATCTTGAAAATTGCGACCTGTACCTGACGCACAAGGTTTACATGGACAGCCAGCCAACCAGCCGGACGGACATGGCCAATATTTTTGTGCGTTGCAAACATCAGCACAAACGTGTAATACCCTAGGGTATAAATACTATCAATTTTATAATTTCATCCTTTATATGGAAGGCTAACATTTTAAAATGATATTGCTATTTTCAGAGACGTCCTACTTAATGTGACGGCCATGAACACAAGGATATAAATATTTGAATAAATTAAAAAAATCCTTGAAAGTTTAAAGTCCTTCAAAAAGGAAAAATGATCAGAAAACTAATTATATAGTTTTTCTGTATACGATCTCTACTTTCACTCGTATTTGGTTTTGTTCCAGTCCAAAAAGTAATGTTCAATATTTTACTCATATTTATTTCCTTATTTATCAAGAAAATATTTTTTGCATATTAGAGTAATAATATATTTTTTTACGGCTTACATAATAAAGCTATAGAAACAAATTTTAACCTATATTTAACATTTTAAAAGGATATTAATTAAAATTTTTCGTCCTGAAATATAAAAACAAAAATTATATTTGATTTCCGGAAATTGTCCTCTTTCATTTGATACCCATTCGGACTAAAACTATTTAGTAAATATATTTTATTAAATTTGTATATCCTTAAAACTTCGAAGTACTTTTCACTATAAATGACCTCTAGCAACGTTCAATTCCAATAAAAAATGTAAAATGGTTTTACGGTGTAACAATACAATTTTTTTTTAAATTTCCAAACTAGAAACGTAACTATTAATTTAAAACTAAGAATAATAAAATCGGATATGTAGTTTAGAAGATATGCGATATTAAACTTCATTCTTCAAAAATATATATATGTACATAAATTTTGGACTACGATAAAACGTAACGAATTTGAGAATTTTGGAGAACTTAATGCAAAGAACGTATATTCGAAATTGCATTTTTTGTTCAAAATTTTTAAAAATTATCATTATTGATATAAACATCAGGAAGGTTTTCGGAATAGGTCTTTTAATTAATTTCCTAAAACAAATCATTTTGTTAAATGTTATCTTTGCCATGTCCGTCTGTGCGACTGTTGAAATTCATCAAAATCCGTCCATAAATAACGGAGATATGAGCAAAAATCAGAGACGACCTCTGAAAATTGCATCATGATTACGATTGCTGCTGTATTAATATATACATGGCTGTTTTAACTGTATTCCGGGGGCCTATTTTGAATCAAATTCCGAAATTTCTCTTTTTAAAAATCAAACAGTTCCTATCAATGGAAAATATTTGTATCGGACGGAATTAAGAGTTTTTCATGAACAAATTTTGGGGAAAATTATAGGGAATTCAATTTAAAAATGGGGATTTTTTGGGGACAACAAGCTTAAGATTGGGGACATGAGATAAAATTTTTCTGGCAACACTGATAGATAGATAGATAGATAGATAGATAGATAGATAGATAGATAGATAGATAGATAGATAGATAGATAGATAGATAGATAGATAGATAGATAGATAGATAGATAGATAGATAGATAGATAGATAGATAGATAGATAGATAGATAGATAGATAGATAGATAGATAGATAGATAGATAGATAGATAGATAGATAGATAGATAGATAGATAGATAGATAGATAGATAGATAGATAGATAGATAGATAGATAGATAGATAGATAGATAGATAGATAGATAGATAGATAGATAGATAGATAGATAGATAGATAGATAGATAGATAGATAGATAGATAGATAGATAGATAGATAGATAGATAGATAGATAGATAGATAGATAGATAGATAGATAGATAGATAGATAGATAGATAGATAGATAGATAGATAGATAGATAGATAGATAGATAGATAGATAGATAGATAGATAGATAGATAGATAGATAGATAGATAGATAGATAGATAGATAGATAGATAGATAGATAGATAGATAGATAGATAGATAGATAGATAGATAGATAGATAGATAGATAGATAGATAGATAGATAGATAGATAGATAGATAGATAGCTCGCTCGCTCGCTCGCTGCCGCTCGCTCGCTCGCTCGCTCGCTCGCTCGCTCGCTCGCTCGCTCGCTCGCTCGCTCGCTCGCTCGCTCTCTCGCTCGCTCGCTCGCTCGCTCGCTCGCTCGCTCTCGCTCGCTCGCTCGCTCGCTCGCGCTCGCTCGCTCGCTCGCTCGCTCTCTCGCTCGCTCGCTCGCGCTCGCTCGCTCGCTCGCTCGCTCGCTCGCTCGCTCGCTCGCTCGCTCGCGCTGCTCGCTCGCTCGCTCGCTCGCTCGCTCGCTCGCTCGCTCGCTCGCTCTCGCTCGCTCGCTCGCTCGCTCGCTCGCTCGCTCGCTCGCTCGCTCTCTCGCTCGCTCGCTCGCTCGCTCGCTCGCTCGCTCGCTCGCCTCGCTCGCTCGCTCGCTCGCTCGCTCGCTCGCTCGCTCGCTCGCTCGCTCGCTCGCGCTCGCTCGCTCGCTCGCTCGCTCGCTTCGCTCGCTCGCTCGCTCGCTCGCTCGCTCGCTCGCATATTTTTATTCTACCTGCCCTCTATCTGACAAATTACAAATAATAATTGTAATTTCCTGCAGTTTTGTTAATATCTAAATCAACCCTTCAAAACTTCTCCTACATGTCAAATTACTTATACTTTACTTTAACAAACTATATTCTGGTAGTTTACCAAACATTTAAAATAACCCTGCAACTGCTCCCTCTACATGTCAAATTTACTATTGCTTTTTTATCTAAATGCAAGAGCATACTTTTAGGCAGTGTTGCCAGAAAAATAAAGAAATTGTAAGCAGATCATAACACACAAATGTCTTGGGTTTTCATAATGTCAAATTACATATGAAAAAAATTTGACATTTGTTGAAACCACATAGAAATATTTGCACAAATTGTCACTCGCTGTCACCTCATCATTCTCTCATGAGAGAATTGCTGCGAATAAGCAAATTTGGCTGTGCACCTCACACAAACACGTGTATTTCTTATGGGACCTAGGCTGCTGCGTATCCCTAGGATGACTTTAATTTGGCGCAGCACATATAAAAAAATGATATTGCTGTGCACAGCTTAACGAAATTTCTGTGCACAGCAGGATGCTCTCTTCTGTCTTTTCGAGAGAATTTATTATTTTTTTGTAGTAAATAAAAAATATTATTGAAATTCGAAAACATTTCTTGAACAAAGATATCTTAAAAATGTATTTTTTAATTTTTATAATGCCTCTACTAAAATTTAGTTATAATCTCAACGACAACATATACAAAAAATCTGAATGGGACCATGGGAATCTTTAGAAAATTAACTTCCAGTTTAAAATGATAAAAACATTCGAATAAATTGTTTATAATTACTGCATTTATTTAAAGATCAAAATTTCTAATTCATTGAAATATTTGAAAAATATTTTAAAATTTTGTATTTTAAATCAAGTTCACTATTAAAACAAATGTTTATGGTTCTAAATTGTTATTGTTGTTTTTTCTTCAATTCTAAGTAAATATGTATGTATTATTATGTGGTATTTATGCATGTAGGTTTATTACATTTCGGTTTTATTTTATTTTTTTCAATTTAAAATGGCCCTGCCACAAATATAAAAAAAGTAAGAAAAGTGATTATTTTATATATTTATATAACGACAAGATTATTTTTAAATAATTCCAGCAATTCTATAATATAAAAAGCAAAATAATAAAAAAAAATATAATAATAAAAAAAACAATATTAATACAAAACAGTTTAAATTAAAATTAAATTCAAAGTATTTATATAAAAATATAATTTTATCATTTAGAAAACTAGCTTAAAAATTTTATTAAATTATGTAAAGAAAGGTTTTATTATTAAAGCGTTTAAAAAATGATTTTTGTTTTCTATAGATAACGACAGAGATTCTCAAATACTATAATTTTTATGAGTTTTCCACTATTTTCAAAAAGAGAAAAAAGTTTTTCTTAAGAGTAAAAGATAAATTCAGCAAGAATCGTATTCATTTTTTTTTTCTTTCTCTCAAAACGAAACATATTTACAAATACTTTATAGAAAGAAAATAGAACTAGAAGTGTTAAAAATGTTTTAACATATCGTTTCGCGTTTTGTTTATATAAAAAAGTACAAAATAATTTATATGGTTTTTGTATAAATAAAATAGAATTAATGTTTATAATTTTACATCCCATAAAAGGACATAACAAAATCATCACGTTCTCGTGGTACATAAAAAGCTGCACAAGTACATTCCCACACTTCTTTGGGATATTCCCATTCGCCATTAAATGACCACTGTTTTGTGTCTAAATCGTAGCACTGCACTGCTGAGGTGGCACGATTTATGGTGTTTGTCGACAACAGACCTCCGATAAAATAAATGCGCCTCTTAACTGCCGCCACACCAGTGTAATATTTTGGCATTGGATTTTTTGTTTCCGTCGACCAAGTGTCGGTTTTCACATCATAGACATCTATGGTTTCCGCTAAGACTCTTGTTTCGGTTAAAGGATCTTCATACCAGCCACCACAGGCATAAATATGATGTTCGAATGCAATGAGTATATGATCGGCTCTGGGTGTTGGCATCTGACATAATTTGTTCCATTTTTCGGTTTTTGCATCAAAGCTCCAGAGCGATGCCAATACCATGTGACGATCAATGCCGCCTGTAAGATGGTGAGATATAATAAAGTTTGTTTGTTATGTCGGAATATATTTTAATAATGTTGATCAGATTTTGTTGCGAAAAAACTGAGATTTTGTTGAAAAACTGAGTTCTTGGTAAAAAAAACGAGTTTTTGGTGAGAAATTAATTTTTTAGTAAAAAACTGACTTTTTGGTAAAAATCTGAGTTTTTAGTAAAAAACTGACTTTTTGTAGAAAAATTAGTTTTTGATGAAAAACCGATTTTTTGATAAAGAACTGATTTTTTGCTGGAAAACTGAGATTTTAATAAAAAAAAAACTGAGTATTTGTTGAAGAACTTAAATTTTTATGAGAACTGAGTTTTTCATTAAAATGAAAAACTCAGTTTTTTATTTCAAAACAGTTTTTTATGTAAACTAAAATTTTTTGTTAAAAAATAAGCATTTACTGCAAATCTTTCTTTTTAAAATCGATTTTTTACAACTCACCCGATATATATAATTTTTCACCCAAAACAACGCCAGCATGTTGACTACGATTCTCCGATAATGCGGGTAAATATTCCCAACGATCTACACTGGCATTATAACGTTCACAATTTGATGTTGCCATTTCATTGGCATAGTGATCACCATCAATATCATTTAGCTCACAAACGCCACCAACGGCATACAAAAAATTATTGCCCATGGCATTTAAAGAGAAACGACAACGATCAGCCTGTATGGGAGCAATAGTTTTCCATTTGTCCTTGGTGGGACAATAGCGAAAACCGAAAGGATGTATATATTCCTTTAAACAAACATCATATGAACCGCCAACAATATAAAGATCATTGCCCAAGACAGCTGTGCCATAATTGCCTGCAGATAGGTTTTAAGAGATTTTTGTTAATTTTAAACACTGAATATAGAAAAATGTACTTACATTGTTCTATATGTGGAATCACAGTTAAATCTTCCCATTTGCCTACCGAGGGCAAATAACAACTTATTTGATTAGTTAAACCATTTGTTTCGAAGCCTCCAATTTTAACTAAAGCCAATTCCATGCCGCGCGAATTGGTTAAGACACTTAAAGATATCACTTCTTCATTTTCAGTATTTAATTTATTCAACTGATTTTGCTTTATAACCTCGCTCTTTATAATATCCACATACTGTTGCGAATCTTCTTCGGCAGATTCAGCATTCGATAGTAGAGTATTGAGTGCATTGGTTTCGATCTGATTGAAACGCACTTTGGCAAATAGCATTCTAGCCAATTCGCTCTTTAGCCTGGACTCCAGACAATATTGCAGTGTTATTTGTAATACTCTCTCCTCTGAACAGTCGACGGGATAATTACATGAGAGTATATACTCCAACTGATCCCATGTTAGATTTATTAAATCCGGAGTTTGTGAGAATTCATCAAGACGGGCACAAATAAAACGATACGTTTTTCGTTTAAGCGCATCTAGCGCATAAAGATCGGCCAGAGCGGCTATAGCTACACAATTTTCTAAATCAATTTGAGATTCTAAATAATTCGAACAGGCCTCAATGACGGCTTTCATTTGAACGTGTGTTGAAACGGAGAGTACATCTTGTATGTTATTACGATCCAATTCCAGTTTAGAGGTGTAGGCATATTCGATTAATAACTCTATGCCACGAGCATTAACACCATTTAATTTGATTTCGGACTGTCTAGCCTCACGCATGGCATCGGTAAACATAGCGCAAAAATAATCGCTACAGGCAGCTAAAACAACACGATGGGCCTGAATTAAGAAAAGAAATGTGGGAAATTTGATTAGATATTAAAGTGATTGATACGAATTTTTAACCGAAGGCTATGTATAGACAGACGGTTATCAGTTAGTTCATAGTTAAAATATAATTTTTGTAATACTATTTCCATTTTTCAATTTTCTTTCTCTGATAGTTCTATTTACCTTAAACGTTTTACCCTCAACTATGAGGGTAACATCAAACAGTTTGTCTGAACATCTTAAGGCGTTCAGACCCTGCAATAGAGCCTCTGAGTGAGAGGTTAACATAAAATTTGGCTGTTGTGTGCGTAAGAAAGTAGGTGGTGTTGTATTATTATCTCCCCTTTTAATAGGTGTCGAAGTTCTGTAACGTTGTTCGGAGTTATTACGTAATACTGATGCAGCGCCTCCTGCCATTGTTGTTGACCACCGAAGTTAAGCTGATGAAATTTAATTTGTATTTATAAACATGTGCTTAGATTGTTTTTAAACACTTGTAACCTAAAATATAAAAGTAATAACATTATTAAGGAGGATTAAGTCAGAAATGTGATGTCATAAAAATTTTACATATAAAATCTAAATAATGTGCAATTTTTGCTTATCACCTCGTCGGGCCTTTTCCTTCAATTTCCAAGGTTGGCAATTCCCTTATGACGCTAATCTCGTAAAGTAAACAAACAAGAAAAAAAAAACAATATTGACCCACTTTGTAGTCAAACACAATTTGTTTATTTCTTTATCAATTTTCTAAAGGCAGGTCAATAATCTCTTACTACTTATCGTTACGTTTTGTTTTTTTGCTATTGTAAATTAATATTCAATTATGTTTTTTGTTTATAATTTTTTTGTTTACTTTATGCAATGTACAAAAAAGATAAGAGTAAACTCCATTCGTAATTCAACTCTAGGTGGATAAAGATCGCGCTTCATTGCCATTATCGTTTAAGGATAATACGGCCTGGCCATCCTTTCTCTGCCTTCGAGATTTAGGAGTTTCCCTCTCACATTAGCTTAATGTGTGGCGTCACATAACTGTACCGCGTTACTGTTCTTCGAAGTTTTATGTATTAACCACATGCAATTTGTTCAATAACCTAAAATTTTCATTTATATACGGTGGAGTACAAAACAAATCCCAAAATAGGATTTTGGTGGATTCTAGTAAACTGAGTTAAGTTCGGGAGTTCCGTATTTCTATACTAAGGTATAGGACGAATTGGCCGTTCTTAGACGAGGCTTTTTCTAGGCGTAAGCCGTAATTTCGAGGTCAAATAATTCCTCCTTAGTGGTTTTAATATAGTTAAGGGAGTAACTTAAACAACAAACAAAATTATATTCAATTATTAACAAAAGGTTTTTATAATTTTTTGTTTACTTTATGCAATGGACAAAAGAGATAAGAGTAATAATCCCCGAAAAAAGAAAATATTTATCGAAGTTTATACCTATGTGCCGTAATAATTTTTTTTCTTTCGTCACTTATTACTTGCAAAATTTATTAACTATTTTATTAACTCCATCTTAACCACCACCAACATTTCACTTACCGAGTTCTTTAATCTTTTATCTTCGTTTTCCTCCTTCCTTTAATCAATCAAATTCAACACAACCAACGTACATTCGTTGACATCTGCTTTAGAGATTTTGCTTGGCACTTTGCAATTTTGCTGGCTGCACGAAAACAAATTTTACTTATTTAATAAGTCTAAAATATGTGAACTATTTTTAATATTTACTAAAATTCTTTTTATCTAAAAGAATTAATAAATTAAATGCCAAATTATTGTACAAAAATAGAAATTTTGTCAAATGGTTGTTCATGAGAAAATTTTGACATTTCTATACGATGGAAAAAATTAAAGAATATTACGAAAGATAAAAAGAAAAAAAGATATAAAAGGTGTAATAGAAAGAATGGTAAAAAAATAATAAAATAGAGCTACCAACTCTTTTAAAGCTTTTTATGTGAATTTTTCCGTTCCCATCACATATACAGTGGCGAGCAAAACTGGATACATGTTTAGCTAATAAGACTTAAAAATGCTATAAAACCCATAAAATAAAGGAAAAATAATAAAGTTTTCAATTTTAAATATTCAGTAAAGCAATATAAAAAGAAAACAAAATTAAATTCATGATAATTAAATATTAATCTAAAAATTAAAACATATTTATAAATAAAGTCGAAGTATCCAGTTTTGCACGTTTTAAAAAAATTTTGATTTTTAATATTTTGTGCAAAGTCCTTTTGCTTTTATGACACTTTTTATACGTTTAGGCGTACTTTTGACCAAGGTCTCAATGGTCCGGTGCGGAATACTAGACCACTCCGTTTGTACTCTCGACCAAAGTTCTTTAAGATTTCTTGGTGCATTATCGAATTGCACAAGACGTTTTTTTTAACAAAGCCCATAAATTTTCAATTGGATTGATTTCCGGGCATTGAGTTGACTATTGCATCGTTTGAAAATTCTGCGCTGAAAGCCAATTCTTTACGATTTTTGCCGTATGCTTCGGATCCCCATCCTGTTGGAGTATAACCTCTGACTCTGGATATGCACATTCTTCCACAAAATCTGGAATATTGGATTGAAAATGCTCAAATAATCCTCCTTTTTCATTATAGCATCTAATTTTACTAAAGAACCGAGATTCTACCAAGTGAAACAAGCCCACACAATCAGACTACCACCCGCTTGTTTCACTCTTTTGTTTTACTTGGCGCTTTTTTAAGCTTTCATAAGGGCGGTGCCAGTAATATTCCTTGCCATCAGTATAGTTTTCGTTTCATCGGACCATATAACCCTTTTCCAGTCATCAACACTCCAATTTTTGTGGTTCTTGCTAAATTTAAGACGATCCTTCACACTTTTTTCTGATAACGCTGGTGTTTTCTGCTTTACGGCTGATATAAGGCCAATTCTACGAAGAGCTCCCCGGACTGCCCATTCACTTAAGGACTTATTTATGGCGACTATAGCCTGTTTTTTGTATTTTTACCTGTTTGGATGTCAATAAACGCTCCATAGTTCTGGCATCTCTCTCCGAAAGCAAACACGATCGACATTTCTTAACTTCTGGTGTGCTCATATTTTTCTTTTTCGCACTTGTAGCACTCTTCGGTGGCAAATTCCTAACTTCTTGGCAATTTGACGAGCACAGTAATTATTTTTTGTCATTTCGACCATTTGGTTTCCCAATAAACTTAATATTTTTCTAATTAAAACTAGAAAATTAAAATATTTGCAAAAAAATTACAAATATGACTCAAAAATGGTAACTGTTTGTTTTGATGCTTTCTTCAAAGGTAAATTAAGTAGAAGTACTCAAATTCATTGTTATTTTTAAATTTACTTGTGTTGCTAGATTAATTAAATTTAAACGTGCAAAAGTGGATACATAGACTTTTTTAATAAAATTAGCTAAAACTTGAGATAAAGTTTCAATATTCGCGAATTTTCTATTGTTTTATTTTCTTATTCTTCCATTGCTTATTTTAAAACCAATATAAAATTATTGTTTAATATTTTCTGGATTTTATTGGGCTTTTAACATACACTTGATTGATATGTATCCAGTTTTGCTCGCCACTGTATACCTATATACATAATAAATAAACAAAACGGGAAAAATTTATATATGCGAAAATTTTTCCGGATATGGAACGATCCGATTTTCCATAGCACTTTTGAAAATTACCTAATCGTATATAACTCATGAATTAAAGATATCGGAAATTCAACTCGAATGTGTTTTGCGCATATGCAAATCTTTCTGTGAACGTTTTTCGCGATTGGCTCATAATTTGGCCATAGCACCCATAGAAAGCCCTATTGGCACGTATATGTTTTGTATACAAAATTTATAAAATATAAATTGCTATACATATTCGACGTGCTAATAAAAAATTAACGTATAGGTGAAGGGTATTTAAGATTCGGCATTGACGAATATAGCTCTCTAACTTGTTATAATAGCAAATTCAGTTTTTGGTCTGGATTAAATTCCGCATTAAAGAACTTAGCCTCCACAGAGGTTTTTTTAATTATCTGGCATCACTGTTGTCTACATGACGTTCTATGTGGACGTCATTTTCGGAGAAGAAGAAAATGTCAAGAAAGATGTTTTGTTTTTATAACATTGTAACGGAAATAGCAAAATAATTGTGAAACAATTCAAAAATTTATTGTTGTAAATAATTAAAAAATATGTATGTTGAATAATAAAAATTATGCAATTCTACAAAGTGTATTTTGGTATTATTTGAACAGTTGTAGTCATTTTATATAGTGCGTCTTAGCTAAACATATTTCTACATAAAATGACACCTTCCATATCCTTATGTTTAACACCTGGATTAATATTTAAATGTTTATTAGATGATAATGGTCAATTTAATAACATTTATAAAATTGCTTACTTTGAAGCAGAGGTAATAATTTAAATTATTATTTTGCCTAACGGATTTTTTCATAACAGATTATGTAAATAATTGTAAACTCGCGATGTTACAGAGGCTCAAATCTGAACAAAAAACAATTTTTAAAAATTTTGCAAAAAGTCAATTATGAAAATTTTTTTAATTCGTCTTGGAATAGTAATAAAAACTTTAAATGTTGCGATTTTTTCAATACATTGTAAGTTGACAACATCCACAGAAAGTACTAAAAATATACTACTACTTTTTACAACCAAGCAAAGTATATAAATAAAGTAGCATCACTTGAACAGCTGACTATTTTTTTTAAACTAGATAAATAAAGCAAATTGTCAAAGTTTGTTTTGAAAATTGTTAACATTGTTTACGTCGCCATTTTTAAATTGTGTTTTGCTATTTGTTAAAATTTGTGAAAAGTTGAAAAAGTGAATTAAAAGTGGTTTTAAATTAGTTTAAAAGTGTAATAAATTGTATAATATATAATAATATAATTAAATTGTTAATATTTTAACTTAAAAGTAATATTTTTTATTTATGTTTTGTTCACATTGTTTTTCAAGGAAATTTTATTTTGACACAATCTTAAATTTTCCAAAAACAAAATACATGTGGTTGTTGTAGATGTTGTTGTACAACAAGAGATGTCGCTACTTTATTAATATACTTTGCAACCAAGTGTATTCTCAAACCAAGACGTCCGTCCAGTTAGCAACGAAAGATAGCAACGGCAGAGAAAATTTTGGGAATTAAGTGGCAACACCACAGGGGAAAATAAATTGCTTAGCTAATAAAAAATACCATGGAAAACTCAATGGAAAGAGATGGGAAACACAAAATGGAATCGAGATTATATATAGTCTTGGAACTATAGTTCCTTGTAAAATTAGATTCCTCTAAAAATCGTTGCTGGTGAACTGTAATCGTTGCTGGTGAACTGTATAGGATCTAGCGAGTGTCGCGCCAAAAACTCTTTGGAATATGTTAGGAGACATGGTAAGGAGTGAAAAAATCCTTCCGTGCAAAAAATCGGTAGAGCAGATCCTTGGAAAATTGGCTTCTTCCAAAATGGTCAGTAAAATCGTTGCTGGTGAACTGTATAGGATCTAGCGAGTGTCGCGCCAAAAACTCTTTGGAATATGTTAGGAGACATGGTAAGGATTGAAAAAATCCTTCCGTGCAAAAAATCGGTAGAGCAGATCCTTGGAAAATTGGCTTCCTCCAAAATGGTCAGTAAAATCGTTGCTGGTAAACTATGTAGGATCTAGCGAGTGTCGCGCCAAAAACTCCTTGGATTATGGTAGGAGACATGGTAAGGATTGAAAAAATCCTTCCGTGCAAAAAATCGGTAGAGCAGATCCTTGGAAAATTGGCTTCCTCCAAAATGGTCAGTAAAATCGTTGCTGGTAAACTATGTAGGATCTAGCGAGTGTCGCGCCAAAAACTCCTTGGATTATGGTAGGAGACATGGTAAGGATTGAAAAAATCCTTCCGTGCAAAAAATCGGTAGAGCAAATCCTTGGAAAATTGGCTTCCTCCAAAATGGTCAGTAAAATCGTTGCTGGTAAACTATGTAGGATCTAGCGAGTGTCGCGCCAAAAACTCCTTGGATTATGGTAGGAGACATGGTAAGGATTGAAAAAATCCTTCCGTGCAAAAAATCGGTAGAGCAAATCCTTGGAAAATTGGCTTCCTCCAAAATGGTCAGTAAAATCGTTGCTGGTAAACTATGTAGGATCTAGCGAGTGTCGCGCCAAAAACTCCTTGGATTATGGTAGGAGACATGGTAAGGATTGAAAAAATCCTTCCGTGCAAAAAATCGGTAGAGCAAATCCTTGGAAAATTGGCTTCCTCCAAAATGGTCAGTAAAATCGTTGCTGGTAAACTATGTAGGATCTAGCGAGTGTCGCGCCAAAAACTCCTTGGATTATGGTAGGAGACATGGTAAGGATTGAAAA